GACTAGGTTATTTTATACTATACCGTTGCAATTTAGGTGCACGGATTCACACAAAAATTTTCCCTTCTGTTTTGGCACTGTTTGTTTACCGCATTAATTCATTTAGTCTGAGACCGACTGCAGTGAGCACTTATTTTGAGACCGACTATTTTTTTCCCTCGGGACTAGTTTATTTTATACTACACCGGTGCAATGTAGGTGCACGGAATCACGCAAAAATTTTCCTTTCTATTTGGCACGGTTTATTGACCGCATTAATTCATTTAGTGTGAGACCGACTGAAGTGAGCACTTATTTTGAGACCGAATATTTTTTCACTGGGGGTGGGGTGAGGCAAATTTCTTAGACGAACATATTCACAACAGAATAAGTGTAAAAAACATTTTTTTCAATCATGATAAGTTGACATGGTTATTTTATACATACATGTATTTGGGATTTTTCCTTCTATTTTGGCATGGTTGGTTTACTTCATTAATTCAGTGAGCACTTATTTTGTGATCGACTGCACTTATTTCACGACCGATTATTTTTTTCGCTTAAGCGGTGGACACACTAGCCGAATGATTCGGCCGTATCAATCGGCGCCGAATTTTATTCGGCCGAATGGGTGGACACACTAGCCGAATGCTTCGCCCGATTCAACCTGTCGATTGCATCACCTTTCACGTCACATGATTAAAGTGCACATAAGATGGTCCCGGAAAATTTGAGATACGTGTAGCCAATGGTTACTATATCCACTTTACGGCAATTTCACGCCAATCTGGTTGAAATTAATTCAGTTATCTTCACTCAAAGTCGTAAAAATAGACCTCCCGTAAAAACGGCTTTGCCAATTATCGAAAACACTCTTAATCCCCTCAGACACCAGTGACGTCACAGTGACCGAATGCATATTCGGAATGTTTATTCCTTAATTACCTATGTACAGCCAGCGTGTGTATTCTTTAACGCCTGAAGGATTCCTTAATCCCCCTAATTAAATAAAACAATTGACTACGGAATAGTTTCTTTTGTAATTCATTTTAATTTAAGATCCAATTTAGAGTGCCTACAACTTTTAAACTTTGAAGTCCTGAACACTTTTAATATGTAAATAATATACGGGTCCAGCTATGTGGTTTTTACTGCGAGCACTTCGCTTTTCCACATAAAGTGTAGTGTCGTTCATATCTGTCATTAATTAATCAATCCGACTATCAAAGTTATACAGACATGGGTCATAAATTAATTTCAAGTTGGTGTTAGCAGTGAGTGTTAGTGGGATTAAGAATGTTGATTAGGTAATTATCTTTTTTTACGCCGGCGAAGATCAAAGACATCACTCTAAGTGAAACGTGTGCGTAATACCTCACGAACGAACTAATGGTAGAATCATACACACACACATTTATTGTATAAAATAATTAAGTTTTACTAATAAGTTGTTTAAAATTACTATATACCCAATAATTATTGCTCACCGGTGTTTTTGTTATCAAGTAGCCTCGTATTATTTGTTGATTGGCGTTTAAACAACATTTAATTGATGGATGGATTAACGTTTTTGATACGATTAGGTTATAATGTCTAACATCGGTTATCTTCTTTATAATAAAAGTATATATTTTACAATTGCATTGACAGTTTAATCACTCACCAAACGTCACCAGGAACTCCACGAATGATCCCGTGCAGTTTTCGCGACGAAGTTTAACCTCATTTACTACACCCGTAGTACATGGAACGGTACTAATAATAAGATACCAAGCGTTGATTGGCAGAGAAATGAGTGCGATCTATTGTACATGTTATGCATAGTCATCGGAAAATTCCATATTCACTGTAGTTGTTCTTTATGCATAGAAATGGTTATTATTATTATATATAGCTAATAATGAATATATCGACAAATGACTGACACCATTTGTATTTCTGTACTTAAGTTTGTGATATCAAGTATTACGGGGTTATCCAAATTACCGGTAAATGCGCTATTTCTTGAGTCATCTTTATTTGACACGTGGCCTATTTAAACAAAGGCAGCTTAAATTGATCTACAGCATGATACGGCATTTTAAATTCACTCTAAAATATTCCAATCACAAATGTCTAATCTATACCAATGAAAGACGATAATTCGGTGATTATGATTAGGCCAGTCACGTGGTAATTGGACCGTCAATAGACGCTTGTCCAGTTGCCGTGTGTATTGATAGTGCTATATTGTACATACAGTGAGATATTGTATAGATAATGTATATCCTATGTGTAGTGCCTGTGACGTCATCAGCCAATCAACCGGATTAAGGTCGTAATTGAAAAATCGAAAAGCGTTTTGGCGTGTCTGATACTTAAACGTTAACAGCGGACTTAATTTTAATCAGATTGGCGTGAACTTGCCGTAAAGTTGATATAGTAACCATGGGCTATACATACATGCAATTTGGATTTTTGATCTTACGTGGTCTTTAAACATGGCGGCGTCTATGTCTTCAATCTATCACGTGACCTCTCGATATGAGTGGTGATTGGCTAATGAATTCTATATTCGGCCGAATGCTTCGGTAAAGCGGACACACCAGGCGAATATAATTCGGCCGAATCATTCGGACGAATGATAGTGGACACACTAGGCGAATTTCGACGCCGATTGATTCGGCCGAATCATTCGGCTAGTGTGTCCACCGCTTAAGGGGTTTTCCTGCTATTCCAGCCCCTGAATACAGCAACTTCAAAATGGTCTAATATAGCCTAATTAAGGTGACAAGAATTCCAATCAAACAATCAATCGTTTACAGTCCACGGAGGCCGGACCGTCCAGAGACAATTTTGAAAATTTAACTGCCGCAAACGCGTTTTCCTTCTAGTTCAGCCCGTGAATACAGCAATTTCAATGTGGTCCACTATAGCCTACTTTTGGTGGCTGACCTGAATCCCCCAAAACCAATCAATCTTCTCAGGTTGTGGGGGCCTCGCCCTCCCGGAGAAAATTTAGAAAATTTAACCGCCGCAAATGCGTTTTCTGCTATTCTAGCCCTTGATTTAAGCAACTCCAAAGTTGTCCAAAGGTTTTGTAACCGAAATCTCACTCTATACAGACCTGAATTCCAACCATCCAATCAGACTGTTGCAGCTGCATTCACAAATAATAATCGATGATCGAAAGAGTAGAGTGCCGCCCCCACCCCTCGGCTCGTACGCCTATTAGGACATTCATTAGCAACATCAATAAACATCTCTTTCATATCTGTGAATCCATATATTCTGTTCGTTTTAGGACGGACCATATTATGTATTAGATTGCCGGAATTGAGGATTGTTGGGTTAAGTCTGAGCATTCAATTCTTTTCAGAATTCCGACAATTGCGGACAGTCGGGGTTCTGGGGCTATGTTCATGAAATTTGTTTTGCTGCACCCCTGGACACTGGTCCTCTCCTAAAGATCCCTATATATAGGTAATTAAGGGAATAATTGAAAAAAGACCCCAACACAATAGATGTTAGTCCCGAAATGACATGGCGTACGTGTATCGACTTGTCTTTAAAGTAGCTAATTCTCTAACTCAATATCATCCAAAATCTTCGACATTGAAAACACGGATTATTTGTCAATTTAAATCAACATTGATGTTGTGATCTTACGGGGAAAAGATGGGTTTCTGATATCCAATAATTAAGACAAAATAAACATTTTACTATTGGTACACGATTTCGTGTACCATGGTGCATTTCAGCTCCATTTTAAGAGGCTAGATATATTTCACAAGTCATGTCATACGGTGACGTCTTATCTGGAGAGCATGCGCAATAAATACTATCGGTATAGAGTGGAATAACCAGACGCTAGAGATTGTCATTGGATTGAGACTTCTGGCAATAGAAATTGCATTTAAAACAGAAACGATTGAATGTAAATCAGTTTATATACATTCACATTACATTATTTGTTGCGACCCATTTGTGTCAATTTCTAGATCCAAAATATTAGCGATTTAGCTCCTTTAAACCCAATCTCGCTTGCTCTCTCTGTTTTGCACCACTGCATTGACACATCGTTTATGTAGGCTGATGTATTTTATGCAGGATATTGCCCGTGGCATGTTTAAAAAGTAAAAAAAAAAAACATGACCGAAAATGACAGAATATGAACATAGGTCTACAAATACAGGGTAAGATAAGATATGATTTTATTAGATTTCAACGCCCATTTGATGTCATACAATTAAGCGGTAGCACGCGAAGTAGTGTGTGTGTGTGGGGGGGGGGGGGGGCGAATGGTTGAACGTGTGCGGATTAGACCCATAGGCGTACGATAAACCATAAGATCTGTCATTGAGTCAAGTGCCGTGGTCTCATAGAAATATAGTAGTTACATGTTTCATGTTACAAATCGTTCATGAAAAAAAAATATACCGTAACATTTATTTTTAAATACATATTTTAGAAATGAGAAGAAAGGGAGCACATGATCCTCTCATAAATAGCCTATTATTATGCCCAGTAGTAGGATTTGGTTTCTATTTATTTTACATCGCCAGCTTATTTCTCTTAAATCCATATAGTAATAATAATTGTACATAATTATACAATGACAAGTCTCTGAATTAAAATAGGGTACTATTTCAGTAACGTACCTCTACCAGTTCCTGTGATCGTAGAGACTTGAAATTTTCAGGGGGTGTTCACAGGGACTAGCCATGACCTAACACGAAATTTCAGCCGAATCGGTCAATAACTGTTTATTTTACCGTAGTTTAGCTTCTATAAGAGATAAATTTATCCGATTTTGACGCCATTTTGTTTGTTGACTATTTAGGCTCGAATAACAATTTGGTGTGAGGTCATGGCTAGGACCCATGAATACCCCCTGAAAATTTCAAGTCTGTACGATCACGGGAACTGGTAGAGGTACGTACATGTAGTTGATTTTTGGTTACTGTACCTTTAATCCGTGCATAAATAAAGTTGCCGCATTGAAAGATGTACTTGAATAAGATTGGATGAACCCAGCGAGTGTCTAGATAATCAAGACTGTCATAAAAAAAAATGGCGACTATTTCCGAAGCTGACAGTTGCTGACACATTAAAATAAGACAAAAAGACCATTTAAATATTCAGTGCTTTGTGACAATAACCTAAGCTTGCCACGAGAGTTCAATAGAAACCGAGGATCGAAAGAGGTACGTAAATGAAGCGAAAAACGCTTGAGAATTCGTGTACAAATCGTTGAACTGAAATTCAAATGGCTTCCTTCTTAAAAGTTCTTTTCATTTTCATCAATTCATTACTACCGACCGTAATTCAAATGATGCATTTAAATTTCATACAGATTGAATGATAACTTTTGTTGTTCAAGTGTTCACAAGGTTCAACAAAGTGAAACGACGACCATAACTAATATCTATCTGTCTGTCTCTCTCTCATTTTTTATATGTTCTGATTTATTTTTGTCTTACTAATACTATTTAAAAGTTAAAATATCTTGTTAAACATGCCCTGGAAAGTCAGGGTCTGATACAACCATCTATGATCTAATTGAACTTTGTAACTTATGAACTTTTGTAACATTTTCTATCATATCCCCATACCTTTTACAGAAATGTTGCTCCTAAAGACGCGATAAGCAAGAGAAATGGGGTTTAAGGTCCACTTGTCATTTGGGGACTAACACATGGTACAGCATAGTAATCTTTAGCATTAGGAGGAAACCAGAGAACCTGGAGAAACCAACAAGGTTTGGCAGACGACCCCACTTGGGATAGATGAAACGTACAAACTCCGGATCGAAAGCATGCCAGTTGACTCAATGACATTGAGTCAACTTAGAATCATAAGGTCTGTCTGCCAAACCTTGTTGGTTTCTCCAGGTTCTCCGGTTTCCTCCTACTGCTAAAGATTACTATACACAAGATCTAACTAAAGTGCTTACTTTAGACTACTCAACCACCCACCCCAGTGACCATGGTAAAAGTCGTATAATAATAACCATTTAAGTGTGTTATAATTTGTCTTTGCAGGTAACAGTAACTTTCAACGGTTTACAGGATAATGGCAGATTGTATAAAACAAGCCAGATCGCCAACAACAGAACAAAGCAGATCTCCAAAAGCAGAACTAACATGTGGATTGTGTTACAAAGATCTCAACAAACCCAAGCAATTGGCATGCTGTCATACCTTTTGTCGTCACTGTTTAGAAGATTACGTAAGAGATACTCTTAATGCTGAAAGTCAAACAATTGATTGTCCCAAGTGTCAGAAAGTCATACAGATTCCTGAAAACGGAACGAAAGGTTTGCCCAGTAATTATCACATTCTTGCACAGTCTCTGTCTGATGAAATTGATACAGGGGCGGCTTTTGCTGATTTTAAGTGTGATATATGTAAGGTAAATAAAGTCATCGGTTATTGTTTTGAATGTACGAAGAATTTGTGTGAAGAAGACAAAAACAAACACAAAACTGCTCCAGTATCAAGGTCACATCATATTGCCACATTCACGGATGGAAATAGAAAAGTTGAGAAGGACAGTTATTGCGAAAAACATTCCGATAATATTCTAAAGTTTTATTGTTGTCAGTGCAGTGTGCCTATTTGCTCTGATTGTAAATTGGCCAAACACGAAAATCATAGAACAGAAGATATTGAAGATGTGGCTTTTAGAGATCGAGAAAGGTTATCAAAATTAATGGAAATTCTCCGTCAGTATCTACCATGTATGAATGATGCTGTCAATTCAGCGGAAAATGCAGAAGCTGCTTTTAAAAATCATGCAAACGATACTATAGAGTGCATTAATCATCGCAGAGAAGAGGTTAAAAAATTGGTAGATCAGTTGTGTGATGGTGCCGTCAATTATGTACGTGGAAAGCTAGAAGCTGAATTGCAGTGCATGGTTCCAAAATTAAATGATATCAAAGAAGATCGAAAATTTATTGAACGCTCTATCAACATAACAGAACCTGTGATAAACATGGGGGAAGATGTAAAAATCGTAGAAGTAACTAAAGATATACAGAACATTGTTAATAATCTTCCAGAACCCAAACGAATTGATGAGAAAAAATTTATATTTAATGCTGGGGTACATGGTCAGTCTCTGATGTGTAAATATGTTGGCACAATCGGCTTTGAGGCAAAGGCATTAAAACATGATTTTTCCTTTGATAATAACAATCTTTTCATGTACAGCATAATACCAGTCTCTGAAACGGAAGCATGGATGTCCTATTACAATTCTGAAGAAAGTGCAATTATTAAGGTCAACAATTATGGAAAAGAAATCGAGAAATTCTCACTGCAGCCGTTTGGACGGTACAGAATGATAATGCTGGAGAACGATGAGTTTTTACTCTCTTCTTATGGAGAGAAGAAACTGAAAATCTTGAGAAATTATAAGGAGAGCCTTTTTGCAGAAACTCCATTTGAGCCACAAGGCATAGTTAAAACTGCAGATAATAATATACTGGTTTGTTGTTCTGATGATGTAGAAACAGAGGATGAAAATACAGAAAGGGCTCTGTTGATGTTCTCCCAACGAGGTACACTTCTAAAACGTGTGGATTCGCGACTGAATGAGAAGGAAAAACTCTTCAATTCTCCAAAATATGTTTGTGTTAATATTAATGGAGATGTATGCATTTCTGATGAAGATGGAAAGGCTATTCTTATTTTCAACAAGGACTTAAAATTGATTGGTCGTTATGAAGGATGTAAAAATACTAATCCATTTCGTCCACGGGGTATATGTTGTGATCGGTTTGGTCGAATTATTGTCACAGATGGTGATAATCATAAAATACATCTGTTGTCATCAAGTGGAGAATTTATTCGCTACTTGTTGACAGAAGAGGATGGCGTTCGAGGACCAGTTCTGGTAGCAATTGGACCTGGCAACAAGTTGTGGGTTACCTGCAAGGGTCTGATACAGATTTATTCTTATTTAGACGGGGCTGGGTTGTTGTCTCGTCCAACTTCCCCCAAATGTGTGAAGTAATATTGGGTGTTTTACGTACTTTTTGTCTTCATAATATGGGAACTGAAGCTTATACAATAAAATATGAAAGATTGTTTGATCTTAATTTTATGTATATTTATTTCTAAATTTTGTTGCTTTTCTTGTCAATTTTAAAAACTGTAAAATGTGATCTTTTATATACTGGTACATGGTACTTGTAATAAGTGTGATATATATATATTATCATATAATTTGTTCTCCTTGACTTTTAAACTGTAAGGAATGTCATTTATTAAAAACTGTAAAATGTAATCTTTTATTCCATCTGCCAAGGGATCTTTCCTTGAACACTAATTGTATTCACAGGGCCTTGGTTTACTGTCCCATCTGACCGACTACAGGCTGCCCTTGCCAGGCCCTCTATCCTGCACCACTAACGTCGGGGAACCATGGCTGAAAATCCTGATGAACCTTTCAGCCAAAACAGGGATAGAACTGCACGGGACCTCCAGGCTAGCAAGCCAACATCTTTCCCACTGAGACATGTGGCTCCTTGTGGTCAAGAGTGGACAAACCCTATTGATATTTTCCATTCAACAACCTCTGGTACCAGAGTTATGCTCCCTTGGCCAAATTTGATTGGGACCGATGGGGTCATGAGAGGACAAACACTCTTTTCTATAGAGTTTATCGTGTTTCACAGATTTGTAGAAGCATTGTGGTTTTCAGGGGACTTTCAGTGCCTGAGTTATTCCCCCTTTTCTGAAATATCAAATTTGGTCAACATCCAAGTATTAAGCTGCTGTTGAATCATTGCTGCTGTTTGGGCGTGTTTCCATACTATACGTGTCTATCTTTAACAAAGTAAATGCTGAACTTTTTAATAGAACTTTTTCTAATTTGTTGCGATGCATTGGGACAATCAGAAGAGGAGTACTATTGATTTTCCATGTTCCCCCGCATCATCTTCGCAAATTGTGAGCGTATCTTGCATGGCAACCACTCATTATCAATGGATGCTTAGAAATCTCACTTGAGATATTCACTTTAAATCTTGCAGTGCTAACACGTATCATCAGCGAATGCCTTCGTCGGACTAATTCTGAATCAATGGCTTCATGATCTGCACATTTTTTAGCACGATAATACTTGAGTGCATACAACACATCGCCTTTGACTTCTTGAACCAAAACATTGTTCGTGGTGCATGAATAATGGGTAGCACGATTTACCCAAATCCACCATTATTTCAACTTATAAGACAATAATTTATATCGATATCTGATAACATACCATTTTTTAATGTCATTTTTATACGTACACATTTCTATTTTGCCTTCGCCCCCGTCTGTCCATTCCATTGTCCACAATTTCTTGTGAACGCTCTTAACGCCAAAAGTTATCATCCAGTTGTTTTAAAATTGATATATGTTGTTTGCATTAGTGACATGAAGAAGCCTATTTAATTTCAATAATTTACGTCTAGAGTTATGGCCATTGTTTCACTTTGTTGAACCGTGTGAACGCTCTAATGCCAAAAGTTAACATCTGATCTTTGTGAAATATATATGCAATATTTAAATTAGGGAAACGAAGAAGCCTATTGAATGTCATCAATTTCCGTTTATTATTTCTAGACGAAAAAGCCTATTTAATTTCAGTTTATTACGTCTAGAGTTATGGCCCTTTGTTTCACCTTATTGAACATTGTGAACGCTCTAACGCCAAAAGTTATCATCCGATCTTTCAGAAATTTATATGCATTATTTAAATTAGTGCAACAAAGAAGGTTATTGAATTTGAGCAATTTCCGATTATTACGTCCAGAGTTATGGCCCTTGTTTCACTTTATTGAACCTTGTGAACGCTCTAACATCAAAAGTTATCTCCCGATCTGGATGAAATTTGCATGCGTCATTTAAATTAGTAAAGAAAAGAATCCTATTGAATTTCAACAATTTCCGTTTATTACTTCTAGAGTTATGGCCCATGTTTCACTTTGTTCAACCTTGTTAATGCTCGATTGATGAAAGTTATCATCCGATATGTATGAAATTTATATGCATCATTTAAATTTGTGAAACAGGTCTATTGAATTTCAGCAATTTCCGTCAATAATTTCTAGAGTTATAGCAGTTGTAACCCTTGAGAATGTTTGAATGACAAAAGTGATCATCTGATCTGTATGAAATTTATATGCATTATTTAAATTAGTAAAACGAAAATTTCTGTAGATTACTTCCAGAGTTGAGACCCTTGTTTCAGTTTGTAGAACCTTGTGAACCCTCAAATTATAATCTGATCTGTATGGAACTACTGTCTTGTAAAGGCCCCAAATTACCTACAAAGGAATAAATATGTGACAACCCATGTCGACCGCTCAGACGATTTAGCTGCTGTGGGCGTATGTTTCGTTGCCTGGCAACATACCTTTAATTTACCATCGTAACGTTTTAGGATATCACCTATCACAACCGTAATGACTGCACATTTTTGCGCAGTTGTGGGATGTACCATTCAAATCTGGTTGATGTTTGTTGACACTGTATTACAGTAAACAGACCGACTCCTATTGCTCAGGAAAATAGTCTCTATTCATTGATTTGGTCGTAATATACATGTTCACTAAAATAATGGACACATAAAATCAGTTGATGAGTCTGTGAACACTTACAGCGGTATAGCCACAGCAGCGTAGGTATCTACAAGTGGACAAAGGGGTCATCATCAATAACATGACTGAAATTTTCTAGATACTCATGATCACTTTCCTATAAATGTATTATATTATATATTTCATAAATCCCACAGATAAAAAAACCCATATTCCATTACAAATAAATATAAAAATAATTACATGATCTATTTTTAGACAATACATTTGATAGAATTTTGCAATATTAATAGATCTTCTTTTAATAGTTTTTCACAGACTTCTTCAAGATAATTACAAGATTTCTTTAAATTCTGAAAATACAAAATAAATATTTAGCATATAAATAATATTGCAATGGTGTGGGAGAGGGAGGTGGGATTGAAATTACCCATTTGATTCAATGATCTAAAACCATTCAGTCATGTGATGTGCTTTCGATACTAACAAGGAGTAGGGTCGTCTGCCTAACCTTGTGGGTTTTCTCTGGGTACTTCGGATCCTACCACTGCTAAAGACCAATACAAATAAAAATGTACCCTACATGTATGTGGACCTTAAACCCAAGATCTCTCTCCCTTCATGAATTAGTTTTTGTTAATGAGTATATTTTCCACCTTTTAAGGGAAAGCACGGGTGGAAATAAGTAAAAATCTAAAAAAAATTTTTAAAAAAATATTCAATTCTGAGATTTATGTTTTTTTGGCTTCTTTGTTGTGTGGTTTTGTCAATGAATTTATTTATATATTTTTTACCTTTTAAACCCAGAAAAACAACCCCCATTTAATGGTTATATTGTTTTGATTACAAATTTAAAAATGATATATATACATGTTATATACTAGTACATATAAGTATAAAGATTTATGAACCTGTAATTGTAGCTGAGAATTTTTGAGTTCTGATTTGAACAGAATCAGAGCCAAACTTTGAGCTTTATCATCAATTTCTCTGCTAATAATTAAACCTAACATAATCTTCTTCCAATCTTGTCTGAAATTTAAAAAATATTAATGCATTTTAAAATGTGCAGGCTGTAGTGCCGTTGTTGGACAAAATTTCAGTTAAATTACTTTATTCTAAGCAAAGTTAATGGTTTTGAGAAAGAAAAAAAAAAAAAAATAGTCGACTGTCAAATATGATCATTGCCATGAACAAAGTCTTGATTGTCAGTCATTTTACTGAGTGACATTGAGTTTAATTTTAACTGATTATATGGCATGGATAGTCTAATCCATTCAATTTGGTCTAGATAGTTCATTACGAGCTTTTCATGTGAATAAATTTCTAAAAAAAATAATTTATATAACATTTGTAGCTATAAAAAAGACTCCAGTATGCCGATTCAGCTCTTGCATAATGCATCTTTAAGTAACATTTTAGTAATTGAACATACAGTAAACTGAGCATAAGTCGGATCTATCCGAATTCAGCGAAGAGTTAGCTGAAGACCAAAATTCAATCTTAGCTTGATTAGAAATAAACTACAAGAGCCGGATAATAATTGTTTCAAACGCACATTTCAAGTTTTTGTTTGTTTCTCCGAGTAGATAACTTCCGTTTGGTCGCCATCTTTGAAAAATGTCCTAAATTTTCCCTGAAAGGGTCTCGTACAACAGACAGCGAATTTTGTGGGAAAATTCTATTATTGCGTCGCGTCAAATAGGCCGATTTGAGTCGAAATGAAAGGGGAAAGTATTTTGGGGCTCTGTGCATGGAATAGCTAACTGTGTTTTAGACCATCGAGCTGAAACTGACTTAGTCAAATTTTGAACATACTGCCGATCTGAATTAGGCGAAGGAAAAAGGCCGGAATTAGATCAAATGGACCGAACATTTTGATCCGAGTTGAGCAAAGATTCAACTTAGGAAATCTGACTTACGCACAGAAATTTAATAAGAAAAATGTGCAGAATCAAAGGGCCCAAACGATTTTATCAAAGTTGAGCAAAGATCCAACTTATGCGAATCCGACTTATGCGACGTTTACTGTATTAAATAAACACAACTATTTTAATCAGAGCTATGATTCTAGAATGATTCATTCGCCTTGAAAACAAACAAGAAGGGTGCCTCACTACCATAAATTTTCTTTAAAAAACTTCAAAAATATGGTACTTACAACTGCTGCCAGTTCATAACAAGTATTTTAAAAACAAGTTCCATTTTCCATGTCATTCCATCTCTACTACATGATAAACCCCTAAAATGTCAAAAAGATAGATCAAAGTGGTAGAGAGAGGAAGAAAAATGTATTTAACACCAACTCGACACAAACTAGATAATTTTAAGACTAACATATGGTACAATTTCATTTCAATAATTCATTTTCACGTAGGTGTCCTTAGTAGTAGGATAGAACCCATAAAACCCACGAGGTTGGGCAGCCAACCTTCTTGTCATTTACAAGTTGGAATTGAAACCAATGACAGACCTAATGATCTAAATTGCACGACTTAGGTCATTCAACCATCCAACCCCACCTTTGTCATTTAAAAGAATACTGTAAACTTTTTTTTTATACCATGAATTAATTTAAATACAAAATTTATTATAAAGATTAATTAAAGTAGCTAAGTCTCTAACTCAATATCATCCAAAGTCTTACATGTTGAAAACATGAATTTTTTGTCAGTACAAATCAACATTGATGTTGTTATCTTACCGGGAAAAGGTAGGCTTCTGATATCCAATATTTAAGACAAAATAAACATTTTACCATAGGTACATGAATCGTGTACGATAGGGCGTTTCAACGTAATTTTTAACAAGTGACCAGAAAGAACGAGGCTAGACATATTCCACAACTCATGTCATACGACGACGCCATAACTTATCTGGAGAGCATGCGCAATAGACTGGAATAACCAGACGCTAGAAATTTATATTTGGTTGAGACTCATGCCGTATATTGCTGGACCTAACTGATTTGAAATTAGCGTCAAAACGGAAACAATTGAATGTAAATCAGTTCATATACAATCAGATTACATTATTATATGCATTGCGACCCATTTGGATCAATTTCTATGCCCCAAGTATTAGCGATTTAGCTCTTTTAAATACATATCTTATTATTACAGATTAATTTACTGTATAACTTACAAGTATATTTTTTATTCTGACTTACTTTAAAAGATTATTTTCTTTTAATATTGTCCATTTATGATGTAAATGATGAACACCATTATTACTGGCTACCTCTAGAATTTGATCTACAATTAAATAATAGTTTCATAAAATTAAACAGAATACAGTTTTGTTCTTCCTGTACAGAGTGAGTTTGAGAATGGGAGAGGGAGAGAGAGACATGGCTTAATGTCCACTTAAGGGGGGCAGAATTAAGAAAAAAAAACATGTGCGGCATGAAGCCCCCAGAAAATTTTGAAAAACTTATTTGATTTGTTATTTGGTGTATTCTGAGCTAGATATAAATATGGATTTATTGAAAAAATATATGTTTCAAACTTTAATCAAAGTACGAGTCCCAGCCAATGCTTTTTAAAGACAAATAGTCACTAATATTATAATGTATCAATGATCTCACATTTCCTGCCAAACTATCTACCAGTGAAGTTCAAGCCAAAGTCAAAATTACCCACATGACCTTCAAATATCTCTGCCATTATCTCTGTCGTCCCGGATCCGCAACATTTGTCCCACTTTGTTCACCTCTTATAATTAGCAAGACAATTTTGAGCACTATTTCAATTTTTAATACATATATTTGTGTTTTTTACACAAAAATATAATAAATTAATTATATTGTGTTTTTCAGTTAAATTCTTTGAGATTCTAATTTTATGAATTGACTGAAAGGTAAGCTCTTCAGTTGGTCAATTTCACTGCTAGTCAGTCCGGACTGGCAAACATAACTGAAACGAAAAGCCTGGCCCAGAGCAAAAAGTTTTTTTTGGGTTTTTTTCATATGTGACAGTTGGAAGTCGCAAGTCATTGTTTATGATATATAAACAAAAATGTTTCATAGACTAAAAATATTAAAAAGATTTAGTCAGCTTTATTTGTCAAATCTAAATTTTACCTTTCATGTTATATCATTAAAAGATATTTTTGGTTTATTTCAAAAAGACATCCAACATATTTTGCTATCACTGGTCACATACACTACTTACCTGGTGAAAATTCAAGCACAGTGTGAGGATTATTCGGTAAAATAAATCCATATTCTAAAAATAGTTTATGATTATCATGTGGTCCATAAGATATAAAAACTTGATCATATTTTTTATAATTATTCCATGTTCTTATTTCATAACAATTATTAACCACATTAAACCCGGCATCTGTCTGAAAAAATAAATACAGACAACATAAAAGTATGAGCTTAATATCTTCTCTTTTTTAAAATCAATAAGCTATTCCTCCTGCCACATACGTCACATCACAGAGAAAGAGGGAGATGAGGTTTAATGTCCACTCGACACAAACTGGGTCTATAAGCAGTGGGTTGAAACCAAGGGACCTGGAGAAAACCCAGGTGACCCTACAGTGTGGTCTCAAAAACATGCCTTAATCCATTTGGCCACCTGATCAAATCATTTTGCCTGTGATATTTTCAAAGACGTAAAACATTGCCACTTTTACCATGTTTTGGAAATTAAATGAAATGAGATTTAACATCCTACTTTTCTGCTCCATTCTGGCTAATCAAGATGGGCATATGCCAAGCAGTATCCAACGGGAAAAATTTTGACGCGCAACTGTACTACTACCTACTCTTATTTCGAATTCCAACCGTCAATGGTTCTTTTACGTGCACGCCAATGTGTACACAGAACCTCGTTTTTTTTCATACAATCCAAACAACTAGACACAGCCTTCGTCCTACATCACAGACAAAGAGAAACCACAGCAGAAAATCCTGAGGAACTTTCTAGTCCAACAACGGAATGGATCCTGGGATCTCCAGGATTGCAAGCTAGCACCCTACAAAGTGAGCCACTGTGGCATTGAGAAACCTAGTTATAAAATAACCAGAGATTGTTTCCATAAAAATTGTGTTTTGTTAACATATTATATACCTTTGCATCTGTGGAATGATTTAGTAAATCTAAAAATGGTGCGAGAGCCATATTATTATCCTCTTCTTCTAGAAAGCAACACTCTGCCTTATAATAAACAGATCTTGAATTAACAGCATACCAAGCCCATCGAAAAGACTCAAATGTTAAATTGATCAAGTTATCAGATAAATATTTTTCACAAAACGTTTGACATTGTTTGTAGGCTTTTCTTAATTTTGTGATGTGTATTTGAACAGAGTTTTTCAATCTATCAAGCACATCGTTGTTGTAGTCTGCTATAAAATATCCTGGTGTCGTAAAATCTTTTGGAATGGTATTAATGTAGGTTTTCCATGAAGAGTTATTTCCCTTGCCTTTCTCCAGCAATATGAACAATGCCAAAGACTCTTGCAGGGACAGTTTTGGCTTAGATCTGAAAAGAGTTTTTAAGTAAGGTATTTTTAAAAATGCATTATGTAAGGCAGGTCTTATTTTGGCTTCAAATGTTATATAAACTATCATTTAGACATTTTTTAACATGACAAGTACATATCTACTCTCCAGAACATCAGATGGAAGAGATTGAAATATGAATAGAACGCCTACAATAAAATGGATAATCGAGTCTTATTTGTCCAGTACTGTTGTTACAATAATAAACAATCTAAGCTAAGCTTCCAGTTCCAACAGTCAAAACTTTGCTCAGAACAATGTAATTTGAATGACATTTTCAATATATTCATTTTTTATTATCTATGTAATTGTTTGAATTATTGCAGCAGGAATGGACAGCTCTTTATATAAATACTACATAATGCATCTTTAAGCAACATAACATAGGCTGGGCTTTAAAATCTTTGCAGTGAACATCCAGGTAAATACAGGTAAGGTATATTGTTACAGAAAATGGTGGTCAGAATCAGATTCTATAAAATGAAATGAAATGGTGTTTAACGTCCTACTTTTCTGCACTGACTGGGCTAATAAAGACGGGCATACGTCATATAGGTCTAGTGTGCTATGGGTGTGGTACAGCCAAGTCTTATTTTCGATTTCCAATTGTTAAGATTTCTTTGACATGCATGCCAACAAGAATGTTTAGACACTGTTCCTTCATCCTGCACCACTGACAAGGGGAAACCATACGGCAAAAACCTGATGAACTTTCTCAGCTAACAACCACAGCTACGGGATCTCCAAATCCACAGCCAGTGGCAGTGCCTTACTCCCTGAGCCTTTGCTGCTCCCATATCATTAATAACATCTCTTAGGGATTGATAACCTACTGTTTTAAGGCTGGTCCAATTTCACTAGTTAAAACTGTATCTATGGTTATCAGTAAATGATGAGGAACAGAAATAATAATATCACCAGAGTTTATCTTTTGTGTAGCCATCAATCCTCTACCAGTCGCTGAAAAACAGATTTTGTAAATTCAACATTGGGTTCTTTGCAAGAATACAGGTTCCAATATCCATTGAACAAACCATACAGGGGCATTCCATAACGTTAACCCGAAATATGTGGGTCTTTCATAGGTAACCCCTCTTGCACCACTCAAAGTCAAACCAGACTGAAAACTCCAGAGGAATTTTCTTGACCTCCTGCATAGAGGCCCAGTGCATTCCTAAGTGAGCCATTGCGGCTGGTACCCCTAAAATATGAGGTACCATAATCATACCCAAGGGCAAGAGAAACAGATTATCTGGACAAATTAAAGCTTGGCAGAGCAAACTGGGAACTCGAACATAGGGTCTGTCCAAATCTGATCTAGATGTAGTAAACAATGGCCCACATGTAGTAATGTACGTCTCCTAAATGCGACATAATGCTCCTTGCACAATAACGAACCGCATGTCAAGTAACTATCCCCGGTTGTACGTGACAAGGAGTAGGGTCGCCTGTCCAACCTCGTGGGTTTTCTCCGGGTCCTCCGGTTTCCTCCCACTGCTAAAGACCCCTACGCGCAAGCGAATTATGTAAATAAAATTAAACCATACGTTAGTCCCGAAATGACCTAGTTTGTGTCGAGTGGACGTTAAACCCCATTTCTCTCTCTCTCTGTCAAGTAACTAACAATTATAACATTCATGAGATAGATAAAGTAAAAGTAGAAAACCGACGTTGAATCTTACAAGGAAAATCCCAAAATTTTAAATTAGTTTTTTTCATTCCACACTGTCGCATCCACTGCCCTAAACCTTTTTCGTCCTGGTGACCGAAAGTCTTGCTATGGCATGCTGTAGTTAATATTTTTTTCTTTCTTTTCCTCCAAGTCCTCCCTTTCATCTTTTCAGAAATATCTATAAATAAAGGGAGATAATTCTGACACCTTGTTGTAAATTCCGATACTAGGCCACTTTTCGTTACAAGCACTAACGATGCGGTCGGGGCGGGGCGAGGGATTATGCCCTTTAGTTTTAGGAAAACCAAAAGGGCCATTTGCAATACGCACTGACAACTTTTCTAGCAAAAAATCTGCAATATAGTGATTCATTATGATAAGTACTGGGAATGGAAATAAATTCCATTTGAAGAATCCGATATGTTGTATTGTAATTCATGAACTTGAAATTAGGGAGGGTTGGGGGGCACAGTAGTGGGTTCTCCTCGAATACTGCCCCTTTCTTTGCCTTCCTATCGTACAAATTACACTTTTACAAAATGAAAATGGGCTAATGAAGATTACTCTATATTCCGGCGTCTTCTCCTCTAATCAACCCCTTTCTTTGCCTTTCTATCGAACATATTACACTTTCACAAAATGAAAAGGGGCTATAAATGAACACTTAGGCCTACTCTATTTTCCGGCGTGGTGCAAGACGGAGGGCCTGACAAGGAACAGTGTCTGGTCGTTCGGATGGGACGGAAAATCGAGGTCCCTAGACAGTTGGAATCAGAAATAAAAGTAAATCGTGGTGTCGCTGTCCGGGCAAAATTTTACTCATAGCACACTGTATGGCGTATGCGAGTTTCCATTTGTCCAGTTGCTGCAGAACAGTAGGATGTTAAACTCAATTCATTTTTTTTATCCGATAATTCTGTCACTTAAAGTGGGTTACCTCGCTTGGATTAGAAATCAACGAGCATATCGTTTTGCTCTTTGTATTTATTATACAGTCGTGGTCTTTTGTAGAGTCCTGCTTTAGGTGTTGGTTTCAAAGACAAAATACAAACTTGTTTCTCGATAAATTATACCCTTTTAAGTTTGACTACGTGAAGAACCAACCCCGTGGTTTCCGGCGAATTCGTTAAGTTGCTGTCCATTATCTTGTACTTGTAGAACTTTAGTGGTAAAAAAACACCACGAACTCAAAATAGTTATCAAATCTATTCAAGTCCACAATATTGTGGAATATAGTAGCACACAGCGAGATACAGGCTGTGCGGTGAGATATTTTAGAAAGTCCAATATCTTGTGGTACTCTTATGGTAAAACCTACCACAGACTAAAAGTTTTGTTTTTGTTGTGGTACTCTTGTGGTGAAAAACACCACTCAAAAGTCCTCACACCTTGCCATAAACGATTTCGTTTCATTTCTATCTTTTGCACAAAAGAGACAAATTGACCGAAAAATGTTTTACGTGTTAAGTTTGAAACCCATCAGAGATTTAGTCATTTTATATCTAAATCATTAGTTTCAATGTACGGAAACTAAAAAGAGTCAGGTTTATATTTTTGCATAAAATTCCGACTTAGAATCTTGAAATGTAAAAGTTTAATTATATTAAATTTAAGTATTACAAACTTCGGTAACCTCCATAATTCAGGTTTCCATCTTAGTTACCTTTCTACGTTGTGAACAGACTTTAGTGTTGACTATACTCACTCACCTTCTGTGCACGTGCATTGATGACAAGAGAGGTCGATATCAGTCATAAACACTATTGGTTGTCAATGAGTTTCCGATTTCTTTCTTCAGTCTGTCCCCTGTTCCGTAATCAATAACCCGTCTACATTTAGTTTGCACGGTAAGTTTTATACTATGTTTGTTTATTTTGATGGCCATTATTCCAATGCAAAAAGTTTAAACAAACGTAAACAATGCCCTCGATAATCTCTGACATCAGGTGGCTGTGTTGTGGTGTGGGTTTGCTAGTGTTCCAGACATTAAATATCACACTCTATTACCTACCACTTTGACAGTAGGGTCAATTGGGAACACAAATTGCAAAAGCCTTTCGGTGTATGGTATGTAGGTAGGCACTTATTTATTTTTTTTGGTTTTTATCCCATTTACATCAAAGTTCGGATTTAAAATTCATCAATGTGGTTGAATCGAAGCAAACAGCTAGCCACCTAGCTACGAGAACGGAGCTAAAAACGTTGAGATATACTGATGTGCTTGTTTTTAGCTACGATTGGATGCCTTTAGTTCCAAATGGCAAACTCAATATTTTTATTAATGCATGTACCATCTTAAAAATAAGATAATGTTACACTATTATGACCAATTAAACTTACAGAGGCCAATGTAGTGGCACAACTATCGTCTAACTCCAAATATTCGCGTTTAAATTCATGAAGCAGTAGTTTTTTTGGGGTTTTTTATAGATCAAACGTACAATTCAATTACTATGTCGATGAGAATTATTGATACTGCCTGTTCTCATTTATCTATACTAATGTCCAAAATAAAGTATACACTGTGCATTTGTGCTGCATCAACCAAAGTCGTTTTTCCATGGTATACGGTATTTGGGTAGAATGTCAATTTGTTTCACATTTTTATTTTGCTTAGAAATGTAGAGTTTGGACGCAAGAGACAAACTCAGTAATGCTTTATCAAATGTTTTTAATCTAAACAAAACTTAGTCATACTTTTAGTGTGTATACTTTCTTTTGGACATCAGTATATAAACTAGAATGGTCTCTAACTGCTGCCTGCGTTGAACAATGTATCTCAATGGGAACGATTGCGACTTGAATTTGGAAATGGAGAAGGTAAAATTTCATAATCGTCTCTTCTTACCTCCAACCTTCCCTAGACGAACCTCTCTGCTATAACACCCTGGGTGGAAGCGGAAGTTAGGACCCATGAACGATCTATGAAACGAGTAAATTTGGGCTTTGAGTTGGTTGGGCTGGTGATGTGTGGTGTTACATACAACCCCCGGTAACCAAATGTCAAAATGTCCTGCGTTCGCCACTGAATGTGTTATTATACCGTTAGATCCTGAAATAACCCAAGATTGTTTAATCTTTTTTTTTCAGGAATGTTTGAATGTAATGATGAAAATGCACCTCATCCTGGTTTCAATGCATTCAAAAAAGCGCGTGCCAAGAGCTTAGGCCATGAACTTATCCATGGTGATCAGCACACACAGAAACATCTGAAGAGATCTTCTGAAAACTACAACTATGATGACGGCCCAAGCTGTGAACCAATGGCTTCTGAGAAAAAGGTAACCAATATACATGTACGAGATACGTTATTTAGGGTTCTACTATAATGACCGACAATATCAGAACGGCTAGACGCTCTGCCCTTCACAAGTCTTCCTTCCCGCATCGTTGACACCAGGTTCGAACTCGGTACTTCCTGGTTAGTGAGCCAGACTCATACACATGGCGTTATAGCGGCCCTTACATGTATATAATAAATAAATTTTATTCTTAAACCTGAAAGCAGCGGTCGGCGTATTACTCTATTTTTAAATAGATAACACAATCACCGACAAGAACCGCCCAAAGTATAGCAAACAGTGACCCGACAAGAACCGCCAAAATATTGCAAAAATTGACCGACAAGCAAAAGTGTATGTTATTGTTATGACTAAACATCATAATAATCCAAAATTTACATAATATATGAAATTGACAAAATTATGGATAATTGAAATGTGACAAAATGGCGCAATGCCGACAACAATGAACTGCAGCTTATTTATTATACTGAACGAACGAATGAATGAAATCTGGTTTAACGTCCGACTTTCTGCACCGACCGGGCTAAACCAGTGTTGGCCTATACGCCATACAGTCTGCTATGAGGGAAATTTTGCGCGGACAAAAATGATTAAATTCACACCAAGTAAAAAAATGTAGAACGTTATACCAAATTGCATCCATTCATTTATTCATTCCACACACCTGTAGTTCCACAGACACCATAATCTAAGTTTTTTTTAATAAGTGTTGATTCTGTTTTCTTCTACCTTTCTGTGGAGCTACTTTGGCTCGGTGAGTAAGACGTTGGCTCGCTAACCTGGAGATCCCATGTTCGGATTTCTGTGTTGGCCAAGAAAGTTCATCGGAATTTTCCGGCGTGGTTACCCCTTGTCAGTGGTGCAGGACTGAGGGTCTGGCAAGGAACAACGCATAGTAGTTCGGATGATACCAGCAACCGAGGTCCCGTGTACATATTTGCGTGCATGTAAATAACCCATGACAGTTGGAATTCAATATAAGAGTAGGCCGTAGCGCTACTGTCTGGGCAAAATATCCCTCGTAGCACACTGTGTGACGTGTGCCCGACTTCTTTAGCCCAGTCGGAGCAGATCAGTAGGGCGTTTAACCCCATTTCATTCATTTTCCTACCTTTCTGTTTTTTTCTAACATTTAAATTGTTGCCAATTCGTCTTTATTTTTATTCAGCGTCGAATTCTGCAGGTGGCTGAAAATAAAAAATTTGGATATTATAACGTTAAGAAGACAGTGCTTCGTGAAAAAATCGGCATTAATCAGACAACGTCACTTAATAATGGACTAAAAGATGGCGAACAAATTCCAAGTAAGTTTGTCCCATCTTGTTTCGATACTTACCATGAATAATTATATTAGCTATTTTGGAAGCTCTTTCGTGGGTTTTTTTTTTTTTTCATTCCATGGCCTTTATTCAATTCCTTAAATTTAAGCGGAAGCTATGGTGGCTCAGTGCCTAAGGCGCTGTATTTCGATCCCGGTGTTGACCGACAACGATTTTCTAGTGTTGTTTCAGAGGTGCAGGACGGAGGTGCATAGCAAGGAACATGTCTAGTCGCTTGGATGGGACGAAAAACCGAGGTCCCGTGTACCTTTGGCAGTTGGAATTCGCAATAATAGTAGGCCTTAGCGCCGCTGTTTGGGCAAAATTTTCAGCATACCTCTCTGTATGGATATGCCCGTCTTGATTATCCCAGTCAGAGCAGAAAAGTAGGACGTTAAACCCTCATATCCTTTTATTGAAATTTAAGAAATCTTAACACAATTTGGTTAAAACGAAAATAATTTGTCCAATTTTATCGTCTAATGGACAATATTGATGTTAAAAGCAAAATGTGCCACTGTGGTCTAATGGACATTTAATTTAAGTATATGTTTCGTGAATTGATTAAATCTTTTAATGGACAATATTTTGTTTCCTTTGGTTACAGGTAATGCGTGTCATAACAAAGCCGCCCGAGCTCGCAGAAAATGTCGGAAGCAAGGGGAAAAGGAGAAAGACGAAAAACGATCAACTCTCCCATTTATCCCTACGCCACAAAAAGTTGTTCCAAACGGTAATATTAAATTTATACTATATACCTAACATCCAACTAACAATATGGAGATGGTAAGATTAAATTTATACTATTCCTAACGTCAGATTGGCGATATGGAAATGGTAATATTAAATTTATACTATTCCTAACGTCAGACTAACGATATGGAAATGGTAATTTTTAGTTTATACTATTCCTAACGTCAGACTAACGATATGATATTAAATTTATACTATTCCTAACGTCAGACTAACGACATGGAAATGGTAATATTAAATTTATCCTATTCCTAAAGGCGCGCTAAAGCTATGGAAATGAAATGAAAGCGTATTTAACTCACCAACCGGGCCAACGATATGCATCTGCAACACCGCTTGATTTAGTGGGTTAAGGCGGGAGTTGGTGCACCCAGTGACGAATCCAGTTATGGCCCACCCCATCCCTCCGCTCCGAATAACAGTATAGCAGATTAACTTAGTATTCTGTTTCTATGAAATGTGTAAATTGGAGCATTTTGTTGGTTGATATGGTGTAGCTGATGAAATTGAATGTTGTATTCAAGTCCAGATATGTACCATTAATCATCATTAACACTCAACCAAATATTCCGTGTTCACCACTGGGCGCACCTATGTCAAAATGCAGTATGACTAATATTGTCGTATTGTGTAATGATGAATATGTCGTCTGTGGTTCTTTTTTTTTAAATATCATAGACAAGACCGGTTTTATATAATGTTACCATGTTTACATCTGTAAAGGTACTTGGATACAATCGACGCGGCGTGGTTCCTCATTGCCAGTGGTGCGGGACAAAGGTTCTGGCAAGGGGCAATGTAGACTAGCTCGGATGGGAAGAAAACCCGAGGTCCAGTGTACACATTGGCATGCACGTAACAGATCCCTTGGCATTTGGAATTCGATATAAGAGTAGGTCGTGGCACCGCTATCTGGGAAAAATGCCCTTATAGCACTCTGTTTTTATTTCCATCCGAAGGACTAGAACCGGTTCCTTGCCAGGTCGTCCATCCTGCACCTCTCACAAGTGGAAACCACACCACTTACTATTCAAACCATTATATTTAATTTACAGATGAGCCAATGGATACCCATGTACAGAATCCAACTATGACTATACGAAATCACATGAAAAGAGTTCCTCCTGGCGTTGAAGATATAGATAACCGTGTCTGTCACCTATATTCTTCCGAGTATGCACAAGATATCATGAATTATCTTCAGGTAGGCCTTCGCTTCCTTCTCCCTCTACTGGATTCAATTGATAACGTAACTTCATTGTGTCCATTTATCCCAGGTTTATAGTTTTATTGCATAAACAAGCCTGGACACTGTCATAGATATTGTCAGACAAATATTATCATATATACGTTGTGTGATAACGTGTCTAATGTCGGTGACCGACATTCAGTCCTAAATCGACGATCTTAGTCAAAAACACTTAAGCATACTTCGAAAATATTGTTGAGTATTAATTCTGCTAATATTTAATAAAATTGATAAAAAATATTTAGTCTTTGTGTGAAACGGAGTAGTAACGCGTTACAGAACAATATAGCCTACTCATTTTTGAATATGGCGACCATTTAGGGCAGAGATCTATGTGTGCAGAATGGGGTGCCTTAATTATGTCCAGGCGTGTGCAGAAACGAAATTAACTGTATCCTTAAAATAACTTTTTAAAGTATGTAATACAATGTAGAGAATGTATATTCCACTCTGACAGACGATTGGTTAAAACATTCTGTTATACTGACAGAAATTGTAAAACCGAAAGTTAGATATATATAAGGAAGGCTTCAGGCAAACATTTAAGCCGTTGACCTTAAAATTCAGAAGATTATAGTGGAACCGTCATTATATTTCTAACGGTGTGTTATTCTGCAAAGTTGTATAACCCTCTTTGAAAGTTGTCTATTTTTGAAAGTATTGATCCATTTTCAGGCCAAAGACACATGTTTACCTCGTTCTGATGATTATATATCCAGAGGGGAGATAACTCCTAAAATGAGGGGGATATTAATTGATTGGCTCGGCCAAGTACAGGTAAAAAGATATATATCTAATTAAATGCAAAGACGAGGGCAATGAACATGATCTACGAATTCTCCGTACACTAGATTTCCTTGATCCAGTGCCGAATTCAAGCCTAGGGCCTCGAGATCTACTATGCCTCCAGCCATGGTGAAAAGGCCTACTATTTTTGACAATGTCATTGGCCTTTAATCACCGGTCACCGTCCTCGACTTTCATCTTCCTCTTATTTAGTCGTCAGGGATTGGGAGGGGCCGTATAGAATAACCTATGGCCTCACTGCATCTAAATCCGGCGCTGTCCTGGTCCACATTGTGTAAAGCGGGCAAGGTTATGTGCTAAGATAAACATGCAGGTCCGCTAGAATAATAACCAGTCCCGACCTGCATACAACAGCCTGACAATATACATATGCTCCTTTACTCAATAGAAATTTTCTCGACTTTAGGTTTGCAAACTTAATGCTCATTCTTACTTACCAGTGGCAAACTTTCCACCGCCTTCATTAGCCCTGTCGGTGCAGAGAAGTAGAACATTAAACCCCATTTCATTTTATGGCTTTGACATTGACAAAGAACCTTTGAAGTTGGAATTCAAAATAAGAGTAGGTAGCCTGGGCAAACGCTCCTCTAGCACATTGCATGGCGTACGCCTGTCTTGTTGGTGCAGTAAAGTGGGATGTTAAAACCAATTTCATTTCAATTACCTTGAACGTTCCCATAGCCAACATTTTTTTATATATTTATGTATATACGTTGTGTGATAATTTTATATTTGCACTTTTATGGGTGCCCTATGACCAGACTTGGCTTTATGGATTGTCGTTTGTTTTCCAGACGTTCGAAGGTTTGTCCTCAGAATCGTTACATATGTGTGTTTTTATGGTGGATCGATACCTGACACTAAATCTAATTCCACTACCTAAATTACAACTACTAGGAGTAGCCTGTATACTTATAGCTTCTAAGGTTATAGAAAGATTCCCACCAGAGGTTGGTAACATTTAACACGTATTGTGTGTCTATCCTTAGTTAATAAGAATCGATTTAACCAATAAGACCAGTGCCGAGCTTGATCTTCCGGTTCCAGGATTGGACTGGCCTTATGGGCATTTGGTCTATGATTGCTTGGTTGTCTGGGACTATTGGAAAAATATGGGACTCACTACTGGATAAAAAATACTGCTCGAGAACATTTAATGAATAATGGCCCAATTATGTAGAAGAAGGATGTCCGAGGCGATTTTAGGAGACCTAATTCGCTACTACCCCCTTGCCCAATTCATCGTGCTGCAATGGGGGGTACTCGATCACTAACCACTGCTCCTAACAAATGTTCGTGGCTTAAGACACTGTTTGAACCTCGCATTCTGTTTTGTGGAATCTTTTTGTTTCAGATAACATCGCTGTGTTCATTGACAGACGGCGCTTACCGTCCAAATGAAGTTCTTGAATCGGAGAGGGAGATCTTAAACCGACTAAGGTTTGATTTGAACATACCTGGACCAATAGTATTCCTCGACAGATATCTTCAGATAGATAAACACGAAGATATGGTAAAACTTTGTAATAGAAAGCATACTTTTCCTTTAGTTCTCGGGGTGATTAAGATATTAAAGCTGGTTGAGAGGAGGAATGTGTATGTAACCCCAGTGTGGCAGGGGCTCACGCCTGTTCCCATAGGTTATTCTAGATCTATTTGATATCCTCAACAGGTATCCAAATTCCAAATGAAGTTGATTATTTTGCTTACTTTTGGGATAAAATTGATATAGTTTCACTATCACTAAGTCAAACAAGACGTCTATTACAGGTCCAGACCTGCTCACAGCAAAAAGGTCTCATATCTTTCGGTTAACCCTTTAGCACTGCCAGAAACTACGGATCCTTTCCAAAACGCCTGTGTCACGCGAAGATGTATATAATTAGATTGTCTCAAACCTAATGCACGATGGTGCATAATGTCTATATCGACGACAGGGCGATTTCCCCCAATACCACCCAATACTAATTAAATACTACCAGATAGAACCACATACTACCTCATTTTTGTGAGAAATTATCAGTCGTTGAATTATAAAAAAGAATTGAATTAATTTTTCATGTAGAGTGTCAGTACCCGGTTGCTCAGGCAGGTGCCTGAAAGACTAGCCAAATATTACTAAATATCTCCCAATTCTAACCAAATACTACAAGCTACAGCCACACACTAGCTTATTATTATCCAAAATCGACAGAAGTCTTCGATTACTTCAATATCAATAAGTTAATTCCAATAAAAAGTGTAAACATTTGAAATCTATTTATAATGTCAGTGATAAATGGAAAGGCTAAACAATGAATAATAACTTATTTTCCGCACACATTGTTATCCAAATAATTGTTCTTTTATGTCATTTTTTGTTATATTGGCCCATTATTTTGCAAAAATGTATTGATACTTGAGCGTATGGTTTAATATCTGTAAGTACATGTATTGGCTGATCAAGGGAGATAATTGTCTACGATATCACCTTAGGTGGAAGTGGACGTAAAACTCCAGAAACGAACGAACGAAAAGGGAGATAATTGGAACAGCGAGACATTGACAATTACCGGTGTCGTACATATTATTGCATGTTTTCAACAATTAACTCAATTTTTTCATATAATTGACGTATTATGTTAGTTGTCACAATAATGAGGTAGTATTTAATTCATATTGGGTAAATCGACCTGCCCATTTATAATCGACTGTGTTGTTGAATTTCAGGTAGAGAATGTATGTCTATATATGATAGATCTATGTTTAACCAACACCAGTTTTGTACCTTACTCGGCCAGTAAAATTGCTGCTAGTTCCTTATATCTGGCCCGTTTCCTCTTTCATAACGGGCCAATATGGGCACCCAGTTTAACCTATTACACGAAATACACCGAAGAGAACCTCAAGATCTGTGTAAAACTATTTGCTATGGCCATATGTAGAGCAGAGCATTCCACTTTTCAGGTAATAGGTATCTGGATTTATATTTGGAACCAAGGTTACTATTTAGAAACGTCATAGAACCTACATACCAAAAGGAGCATACGACTTGAAACTGCACTTTGATCCATATGCCGATCTAGATTATATTTACTTTTCTTGGATACAAATGAAATTGGGTTTAACGTCCTGCGCCTCTGTGCTAATGAAGACGGACATAGACATGCAGTGTGTCATGAGGGAAATTTCGCCGGACAGCGGCGCTACGCTTTACTTTTATTTCAAATTCCAACTGTCAAGGTTTCTTTCATGTGCACGACAACGTATTCACCGTACACTGTTCATAGTCAGGCACGCGTACTGCACCATTGACAAGGGGAAACCACGTCGAAAAATTTATAACGGACCGGCATGTTTATTATTAAAATTGGGGGTACGTTTGACTTGCATCGAGGTGTACCAGTATCAACTTCAAACAGTCAGTATCCTCAAGCGTTATGTTAAATCTAGTTAAAACTAAAACATTTGTTTTTATCTTTTCTCTTTAGAGTGCAAGAACCAAGTTCAACACCAAGACATTTGGACACATCAGTATGAATCCTACATTGGCAAGATGTAGAGCGCTTCTTACTGATAGTGTAGATTGAGTGGCCAATATTGAGCTGATTTTCTCAGTAGTAAGCCTAATATGATTTTGTGATAAGACAATTCAAGTCCACATCCCAAACACGTGTTTCATTTTTTTTTTGTTTACTATATTTCCGATACTGTTCATTGTCTATAGGTTCATTTGTTTTATAATGTATGTATATTGTGACATTACATAATTACTGGTGCTTTAGGGGGCACCCTAGTATCAATTCCATCTGTCTTTTGGACAGTAGCCTGTTTTCGCGCTTTTCCGGTAAAATAATTTAAGTGGAGTCTAACATCTGCTTCCATCCGAGGATTCTGCGTAATGAGGAGCTGCTTATGCTTAAAGGTGGTTAATCATTATTCCCTATCTGTTGACCTACCCTTTAAAGATGGACGTTGGAACTCGATATTTAATGTGTAGTATTGGTGATAAAATTAAACCTTTAATGCAGTAGAAGTGCTATAATATTATATGCCATTACTTAAAATAGAGAAAATTGTAGAAAAGAAGGAAAAAAATATAGGTCGCTAAATGGCAATTACACATTATTTTCTATCTGTTGATATGTGCCTTGTAGCTTGAAGTTGGAAACCCGGTATTCAATGTGTGATATTAGTGATATCCCATAGGTAAAATTAAACATGTAAGGCCAAGAAAATAATACCCGTGTTTACGGTTACTCGATTTTTGCAAATAATTATTTTGTCCTAATGCGGTGAAAGTGCTACAAAATTATGCCAGTGCTTAAAAACGAGAAAATGGTAGAAAAGAAGAAAAAAATATAGGAAAGTTTTACACTTCCGGTTATTGTATAGTAATTTTTTGACATAAATGTATATTTATTCTAGTAACTTCACGTGCAAGCACTAAAAAGAAAAAATGATTATTTTTGTATATAATTTATTTATTATAATACTATTGTATTTTTTGTTTAAACACATGCATGTATATTATTTTCATAATAGTATTCATTCACCTGTTCTATGCAATATCATAATCATTATAAGTACATGCATTTAATAAAAATCCATGTATAAACTGTAATGTCTTTTATATTTAGTTTTTAGTGTAATTTTTAAACTTGGCATTCTGAAATAGTGCCACGGTGGCCCAGTGAATAAGGCACTGACTCACTAACTTGGGGGTCCGAGGTGCAGTGTACAAATTGACATGCACGTAAACAAACACTTGACATTTGAAATTCGAAATAAGGGTGGGCTGTCCGGTCAAAACTTCCCTCATATGACACTGTACGCTCGTCTTCATTATCCCCGGGCGAGATAACTCTTCACTTCCGGGTACAGTAAAGTTGTACTTATAGAGGGGTAATAGGATAGAGTAAAAACAAAAACACATAGGCTACTTATGGAAAAACAGCTACTAGTGTATTTTTTAAGGGGTAATGTTATCTAATGTTTCTTAATGCACATCTTCAAGTATTAAAACGCATTTGAAATCTGCGATCCGGGTGTTCAGCACACAATCAGTGCTCTGCTGAAATAGGGCCGTCTGTACAGCGAAATTAACAGCGTCAATTTCAAATTTCAAAAACACTTTTAATTTCAATCCTGCAATGGATGCCCGGAGCCGTCACCCTGTCCACCCCCATTCGGCAAACCTCGGCCGATTCTACGAATCTAACTGTAGAGTACCGGAATCTGCCGAGGTTTGCCGAGTGTGTCCACCCCCTGCACGCCAAGGTACTGAATCCCGTTCACCCGACTTAAATATCTGAACGAAAACGGATAATTAATGCAATAGGATTTAAAGTAGTCCTACTTTTCTGCCTCAACCGGGATGATGAAAACGCTGTACGATGTGCTATGAGGGAAATTTTGCCCGGACAGCAAACGTCAAGGGTGCTTTTACATGCGCACCAACGTAAGGCCTATAAGGACCTCGGTATATCGTCCCATCCAAAAGACTAGGCCTATGGATTTAAATGAGAGGTCAATCCCAATCTGATTGGTTTTCTGTAGGTTACATTTGGTTTTCAGTAGTAGGCTACATTATAGTTACTATACCGGTTCACCAAGTGCTCCGTCTTCATTAGCCCAGTTTAGGAGCAGAACAGTAGGACGTTAAACCCTATTTCATTTCACCAAGTGCTGTAAACAATATCTTCCGATTCCATTGCATGTAGGCCTATAGGCCTATTCATCTGTACATCAACATTTATCCAAAAGTTTTTGAAATATTTCAAAAGATCTCCGTACAAAAAAAATCAAGTGCGCGACTTTTGTGAAGAATTTGGAGAAAATGGAAAAGGATTTTCTTGTTACTTTAGCGCTTAATTCTTGTAATTAACAACTATTGAAATTGAACACCTGGTGTGTTCCATGGGCTTGTAGTTAACCCTAAAAATACCAGCGAGTTCACTTACCTGACTCAAACCGAGCTACAAAATACATAAGTTGTTTTTTATATGTTTATACAGGCCGTTTCTGGGAGGTAATTTAACAAATTGCTGCTAAGACAGGATTACTTTTAAGTGATGAGTTTAATTTGGGTTATGTGCCCCTGTCAATGTCAGGGGAGGGGTTATTGGTGAAAAGTGACGGTTAGTAAATACGGGTGCTCAATGAGCTCTCCGTTTCGTTAGCCCCCGACTCTTTAGTTTCTTTACTCGAACAAACACACAAACAAAACAGTTATCTTATCAACGGTGCTTTATGCCAATAACACGTGTTTGTCTTAACACGGTTGGTAACTGTTTTACGTTACTTCGTTTACCTAGCAACAACGAATCGTGATCTCCCTTTAAATCGGCATCCCATCAAGTCACGTCACGTCAGACTCGGTAAACTTCGCCAACCAATCAAAAGCCACGTCACGGAAAGCGTTATGTCAACACGGTAAAAAGTTTATGCAAAGAATTTAAATTGAAACTTTAAATGTCAGATTTGAAAAGGGCGTTTCTATCGGAACACATGGAGGTGATAGGCCTAAAGTTATTGACGATCTGTTGTGTGCCCAGTGCAAACACTAGTTCGGTTCAGAATTTAATCATAGGCTGCTAATAGATCTATATTGTCATAAAATATAACAGCCGGAAACTTTTATTTCTTCAAAAATTGCTTATCTGACCATTTACCGATATTCGTGAAGAAATCAGATACTGAAATTAATATTAAATAATAATAATAGGCCTACGCCTTCAGTTGGTGCAGAAAAGTAGGACGTTAAACCCCGTTTCATTTCATTTCCTTATAATTATAAGCTGTCTAACCCCAAAATGTGCTTTTAAAGACACGTAACTGTTTAGGCGTTGATGATATCAAAAGTTAGGCTAACTTCCCCGATTATTAAGGGCTTGTACAGGAACGACACACTCACAACCTTGTGTCCAGTCACAAACTTAATGCCGCCTCGTTTCACCATCTGTGTCTGTGAGTCGAGTTCCATAAAGACCAACTCACGGGTTGTATCCTTTTATGTAGGCCCACAATAAAAAAAACAAACCCAAAAACAAACAACAAATAGTCAAAGGAAGGGAGAGAAATTGCACAACTGCAGTTCAGGATTTGTTCTGTCCACTCGGAACAGCCTCGTTATTTTTGTCAATAATAATAAGACCATCTGGTGAACTGTGTGTTCAATTGTTGACTAAACAAGCCAATGAAAACATAACAAAATCTTCTCTCAATCCTTTACACACCATTTCCGGAAGTTTCAATTGATTCAGATTACACTTCTGATCAAAGAAAATCCACGCCTGAGAGTTTAAAATGACGAGTTTATTGGTTCTGACGTCTTCAAGTGTTTGGTGCTATTTTTGCGAAAAGGCCACCTGTGGTATCAGAATACAAATAGTTCTAAAATCATACACATCATTATTGATATGAGAGAGAGAGGGGGGGGGGGCTTATACGGGAAAGAGACTTGGTCATTTTGGGACTAACATCTGGTGCATTATTCTTTCAATAACTCTCTTGCGCGTAAGGGTCTTTAGCAGTTGGAGGAAACCCAGGCGGTTGGACAGGAGACCTACTCCTTGTTACGTAGACGTCACGCTTAGTATAAAAACCACGCCAATTAACTCATCGACAGAGCTTGTGATCTAAACCACACGCGTTAGACCAATCGACCACCCAAGCCCCTTTAAAGGTTATAACACAATCCTATTTAATCACCGCCTTAATTAGCAGAAAATAAGGACCTAGTTTATGCTGAGTGGACAGTAAACCCGTGATCTCTTTCGATCTCAAATACCACAAAGCAGACATGAACATGCCAGCCAAGGAAAGCCGGAAGTACGCCCCCCCCCCCTTTTTCAACAGTGTAGCAGTGTGCCCTATATGAAAAGGAGATTGAATGTAAGATTTATGCTTCTGACCCTGGACTCAGTGTCTATATCATATTCAGAGATACTCTAATGATTGTATTAAGGAGAATCAATCGAAACATATAATACAACAACTCTGTAGGGTCATATATATTTCCATTTATTACCACTCAGACGTGCATGATGGAGAGCCTAGCCAGAAACAAGAGTCTAGTCATTCGGTTGGGACAAGAAAGAAAAGGTCCTCTGTTGGAGTTCACGAATCCTTAACAGTTGGAATTAGAAATAAGGCCGTAAGCGCTGCTGGCCGAGCAAACTAACCCTCATTGCACACTGCATGGATTGGAGTATATGCCTGTCTTCATTGTATCCGGGTCAGAAAGTTAAACCCCGTTGCATTTCATTTCTATTATAAATAGGGCGATTGGGTGGCCGAATGGTTTAACGCGTGTGTGTTAGATCACAGGGTCTGTTATTGAGTCAAGTGGCATAATTTTAATTCCCCGCCGGTACGTGACATGTAGTAGGGTCGATCGCCTGTCCAACCTCGTGGGTTTCCTCCGGGTCCTCCCACAGCCCAAAATCCCTACGCGCAAGCGAATAAATGAAATAAATTGAGCCATTTTAGTCCCGAAATGACCTAGTTTATGTCGAATGGAGGTAAACTTTTAACGGTCAAAACATCATATAGACTTACATAATAAGTATATATGTAACTATATATCAAATCTCTCTCTCTCTCTCTCTCTCTCTCATAAATACCTTAGAGAGGCCCAATAAGCTTATCCAGTTGTAGGTTGCTCTATGATATCTTACAGCTCCAAAGAAGGGGGGAAACACCCTTTTCACTCTTTCCCACTAATTGTTTTAAATTGTAAAAGCTGACTGAAATGTGATTATATAATTAGTAAAGAGAAAGTGGAAGTTGGTAGAGAAATTTCACTGTTTTATTTCAACCATAGAATTTAGTCTCGAATATAATCAACACACTAGTGTCCAGAAAACTGAGGGTGTTAATTCCGCTAACACCGACGCTCACCATCTTGACACCTTTTCCACGGAAAGAATGAATTTTCGACTTGTTAAATTTGCCACGTTATTTCACTAGGATAAACTAGGATGTGAGGAAAAGTAAAGATTTAGACTAAAATTGACATTTGTAGTAAAAACAAAGGGCTGAGGTCGTCCTAAGTCTACAAAAAATTTCTCTGGTTAGTTTAACGGCGATCTTCCGGTCAGCGCTGCGTTCTCGACTATCCCCCACGTGCTTATGACGTTTACTTGTTATATGCGGGGCCAAACGGCGGGTCAGCTCTATTCCTTTCGTCTCACCAACAGAAATTTCTCGCCTTGTAAAATTTCAATTATAGAAACGTTTTGAGGGTCAACTGCTAGCAAATTAATACCTTAGTAAACGTAACAAACATTCCTTTTTCCTCGCCATATTTACAAAGCCTCGTTTTCGCACCTTTTGCTGCTGGACTAGAGAATATGCACGTGTAGCTTTTCGTAAAGCAGGAAATACCTTCACATGTCGGATTGAATACCTGAAGTGAGAAGATTTCGTTTAGCGACTGATATGACATAAATTTATCACTCAAATATTACCCATCATTATAAAGCTATAGGACCGTTAAAGAACCACCTTTGTTGACTGAGTCCGGAATGGACTTAACTAG